TCCTTCGCTGTAGGGAAACGAGTCCTTTATCAAAGCCTTGCAATTCTTACATATCTTAGATCACAGACACTGCACTGGATATTTATTGAGCATCTTCATTCTCAGTGATGCTGTGGGACTACAGCAGAGGTGAACGAATTCTGAGAAGACCTAATTTCCCATCAGGGATGAGAATGCTGTACAACCAAGGAATTCTTCTGATAACAAAATAGTCAAGGCATGGAAATTTACCCATCTTAAAGCTATTCTTAGGTTTAACTTACAGACTACTCATTTGGCCCCTTCTTTTCTCACTACTGGGTTTTGTTCAAACTATAGTATGGTTCACACTGTAGATGTAAATACACAATGATGACACCCTATTTATTGTGGATGGGATCAGAGAGACCTAAAGGTTCTTAACTCCATGCTTAGCAGTTACAGCACAATAAGACTCGAGTAACTTTAATATAATCTGATAGAAAATTGAACATTCTTCTCAAAGAGTTATAAATGTTATAACCAGGCACAGTCACTACCACATCATTAACTTGATTCTTTCATTCATTCATTCACACATTTTACCAAGAAGCTACTAGGTACAAGGCACTGTACTCGACACTGGGTTTATAAAGCAAACCTATATAAATAAAATTTAAGTTTCTGTAATTTATAAAAATGGCTCTGTAGATTTTTACTAAACATGAGCTGGGGGTGGGTTTGGGATAGTTTTTCAGGTTATGTGGTATACACGAAACTGGCTTTGAGGAGGAGGCCCTCAAAGACACAGAGAGGTTGTCCTTCGAAGCAGCTAGAACTGATAGACTAGAGACTCATGACCACCGACTGGAAGAGATCTGACATGCATGCTAAGATACTGAGGACAGAGAAAACCACAGTGATTTCAAATATGTGCCAAACTGCAAGTCAGAAGTGTAGACACTCTGAACTGAGAGCAGTAGGCATTTACTGACTTAACAGTAGTCTGTGTGTCTCTGAGTGAGTCCAGGGGAGGCCAAGAATCACGTGAAGAGAGCACTTCCTGCTC